GCATAAGAATAAAAAAAAGAATTCCTATTTGTTCTTGATCATAATGACTTGACGCCGCGTATCATTGTTAATATAATTGAGAGTAATTATAATTATATCTTAAATAAACAATAAATAATGAACATCAAGGGTCAGGGTGCTTACTTTATCGATAATTTTCCTACTGAATGAATGAATGAGTGTTCAGTGCAAGTCCTTTTAGTTGTGTAAAAGTAAAAACCACCGGATTGTACTGTATTTTTTGTGAAGTGACTTAAAAAAGATAGTGATCTCTACTTTCTGCAGATGCAAAGCAAAGAACCTATCTGAAAGGATATTCATGAGGTCCAAGAGTTGTTGTTAAACAAAACAAGCTGCTCGTGAGCTCGGCTCGGCTCGCTTATGAGCTCAAGCTCAACGAGCTGAGCTCGGTTCGGCTCGATAAGACTCGTTAAGGCTTGAATTTTCTACAAATCGGCTCGTTAAAGCTCGAGATTGGCTCGTTAAGGCTCGAACTCGGCTCGTTAATATTGATAAACCCGAGCTCGAGCTCGATTTCTGACTCGTTTATTTAACTAGCCGGGCTCGGCTCGTCATGTTAGAGATCGAGCTCGAGCTCGAGCTCGACTCGGCTCATTTACAAGCCTACAAAGCTATAGGTTTCTCACTTTAATTCCCCCATGCCAAAATATTCAAGTTTCAAAATTTTTGCTTACACTTCATGTCTGTAGGACAATAACCTTGCTACATTAAGAGAAACTATATACCAACAAACCTATCAATCCAAAACAAAAGAAAAAAAGAAGGTAAAAGCTCACCATCCTTCGATCAATCATACAGCACCCATCAGCACAAAGAAGCGTTGGAAATGTGTCGAACCCTTCCGAGAGGCATAAACTGAGAATCAGCCTCATGCCCTTTTGGCAGTCAGGCATCTCGGCTAAAGAGGCGTCCCCAGTTGATTTTGTATACGCCCTTAGTAAAATAATCCACCAGAATCCCGAATCAACAGGGGCCACTCGACCTATTGCACTCTCGCCAAAATCGGCCAATAGTGTCTCGGTATTCCTTACTGGGTCGTGCAACACTTTGAAACTGGCTGGCATAACACCTTCACCCAACTGGAATCGGTCGATTTTCTTTTCCCATGACTGAAGGCGAAGAGTTTTTAAGAGAAAATTCTTCACGATTTCGGGTTCGCCATTCATAAGAAAAGCCAATGCACTAGGAACAAAATCTCTCACAAATACCTGTATCAGTTAAGAGCTTTTTGAAAAACTACATGATGTAATCCAGCTGGTCACAGGTTCTTTTTTAGATAAAAAAAAAAGTCCTCACAAGATCAAGAAAGTAAGCTTTTATTGGAGATTACAAGTATCAGATTAGTCCATAAGGTAAAGTACATTCAGATAACAGAATGGCTGCGTTCTGCTGGATTTAAACCAAGGATTAGAGAGCTCAAATATTAACCTAAATTAATAGTATGCATTGTGCTCCAGAAAGCTAACATCTTAGTTAAATAAAGCTACATTAAAGGGCATATTCAGATTGGATTAAAAAGAAAAAGAAAAAGTTAACCCTTCATCAAATCCTAGCTGTTCTTTTCAAGACTCTATAAATGTGGTCAAACTCCCTGCTAAATCTGAAAATCGATCATACAAGAAAGGCCTTTAAATATTACGTACTTGGCAATAATTGAATGCTGATTTTGCTAGAAGAAATTATGACATTACTTTATTAACTTCCATTCATTTACTCGGTTATAAAGGAGGTGGTTAAGGGTGTGTTCGTATATGAAATAACTCAAACCATACACCATCCATATTCAAAATCTAACTGAACCTCACTATATATCCTCAATATTATCAATATAATTAAAACAATATCAATCAATCATTTTTACACATCACATCAACTTTTATTCACTATTCATCTACTCACATAATTTTAATTAATCATCACTTCACATTATCTCTCACCTACTTTTGCATCAAATCATCTTGAACTATTTTATTTTAAATATTATTTTAATATTAACTAAAAATCTCACCAACAACTAATCATACCACATTTTTCAAGATTAACAGTTAACTAAAAAAACTCATTTTGAGCGGATATATTTGTATCCAAACACGCCCTAAATTTCAAGAAACAAATTCTAAGAGCACTAAAGTATATATAACTGCATTTATCTATCCGCAGAAAAATTAATTACTCAACACCTCTAATCCAGCAGACTTAAAATCTAACTGAACACTGAAAAACACACACTATATTGTCTCACTGACTCACTATCCACCACAAACAACAAATCACACTAACAGAAAACACACAACACATTCAATTAGTATTGAAAGCTCGAATTTCGGTCCTTCACCTGATCATAATTAAGTTTTTCATCCGAGTTGTCTAGAGCAGCTATAGTCCCAACTGGCCGGCCACGAAAGTAAACCATCGACCTTCTTATATTGTCCCAAGCCTCAGCCACCATGGGGTGAGTCTCATATATATTCTGCCCATATCCAAACTGTGAATTCGGTGTATTAAAACCGGATCTCTTGCAAGGTGACGAAACACCAACCAAGTGGTCAAAAGCTCGATAGAAGGTATCGGCCCGGGAAGGAGGATGAGGTGATAATCCCAATGGCAAATCTGAAAGAGACCTTTCATCACATGATTTCTGTTTTTCAAGATTCAGACTTCGGGGACGATTTGGGAATCTTGAAAAATCGTATGCTTCCAACTCGGCCATGCTGCTAGATGAGTCAGCATTCCTGATGTAACCATTTTGTGACACGTCTACTCTTAGTGTAGAAGTAGACATCTCTTTGGGATTTGTTTTAGAATGGGAATGTAACTAAACTGGTGAAAGTGAATTTCTCAGCAATCCTACACTTGCCAAGAGTTGGTTAAATAAGTAAATTCCAAAAGAAAAGGGTACATGTTAAACATTTGGTTCACCTAACATTTTGAGAATAGCACTGATGAAATTCAGTCATCGACAATGCATATGCCATGATAATAATTAATAAGTAGCCGAATAAACACGGTTAGTTATCGGAGTGAAAAAAACACAGAGCTCTGTCTAATTGCTTAACCACATACTAAAAAAGAAATACCATGAGCAATCACTAACACAGGCCATAACCGGAAATGAATTTTCTTTGTAAACAAATCACCAGCAAACAATAGAACAGTAATTACAACAGAAAAATAACTTCATGAATTCCCCATTTCCCAATAATCTCTACACATACCAAAACCTAAAAACACGAAATTGAAAACTAAATCACACGAGGAAACTTTCTAAAACCAAAACCACATAAACACCCATCACCTAAAATGGACAACAATCAAGCAAAAGTCGGCACCCACACAAGCAAAAATCAGAACAAATAAGATTAATTAATCAACCAGCCAGTGCATCAACAAGAAAACACGATACAAAAATCATTCAAAAACAAAAACAAAACATTCGTTCACTTTACATGTACGAATTCGTGAATAAATAAATAAAAATGGTGGATTAAACTTCAATTAACAAATTATCGAAAAGGGTACATAAATATATCGATCGAGAGCACGTACATGTATCCTCTTCGATGGCCATGTTTGCCGGCAAATGTACACGCTGCATAACACACACCGCAAAAGCATTTATGAGTGTTTGTGTGAGAGTGAGCGAGTAAACATGGTGAGCTGTAAAGGTAGACGGAACGTTCACAGAGATGTTTCTTGTTGGGCTTTGGAGTTATCTTTTGCTGTGTGTGCAGACAAAAATTGAAATTGACGGGATGAGAAATTGCTTTGGGAATTGCATAATAATTCAGGAGATGGTGCAGAAAAGTTGGTGGGTGGTTAACCGCACACGTGTTGCCTCCACATTAAGAGGGGTGTCAAAGGAAATTAAAAAAACTCGAAGTACAACACCCGTATATTATACAGAGTTTGTTAAAAAGTTATTTTTAAATTTGAAATTAATAAGAAAAATAATTTTAAATTTTATATACTTCTTTACAGAAAATTATTGACCTAGTGGCTCGAAGGTTGAACTGATTATCCGGTGACCTAGATGCTTGGATCGATTCCCAAGCCAGATTTAAAAACTGTGAGTCTCCTAATTGGAGCATCGAAAAATCTATGTTGGGGTATTTTACCTTAGATCCTTGTTTTGTTAATTTTAGGTTGTGTGTTTGACAAACATAACTGATAAGATAACCGATAGCTGGCAAGTTATAGCTGATATCTTATGGCTGAGAATTGAAAAACTATCTTATATGGTAAAAATATTTGGTAAAACTAGTTGACTTATGTAAAAATATTTGGTAAAACTAATTGATAAGTCAACAGAAATAAAGTTTTTAACCTATTTATTTCAAAAGTTACCAAATAAAGTTTATGATCTAACTCATACCAAACACAATTTCGGAATAGAAATTCTCTGTGTGTCTGTTTTAATTTTGAACTATAATCGAATTGAACTACTCCCAAAAGGCCAAAGCATTGCAGTATGGAAACTATTTAAAAGCTAACATACAGTACAATAATATAATATTTGGCAGAATAAAATCAGAAATATATATGGGCAACTCTTGTTCTATTTGCTCTTTACAGCAAAATTTTCCAGTTCTTGATTCAACTCACTGGTAGAATCAATTCAAAGCACCGCCAAAACCGCTATGAGATCACCGGCGAAGCCACCACACCTCACCAGAAAGAAGACCCGACTGCATGAAAACGACGAGCAAGATTGGCACTAGAATCCAATCCATTAAAGCTTCAGATGTAAACTCCAGAGAACAAATGATATGAAATGGCGTACAAACTCACTCAACAATGTGGGAATCGAGTCACCAATTTCCCCCTTAATAGATCCTTGATTTACCAAGTTTATAGTGTAAAAGAGTTAGTAGTAAGAATACCATTATTCAACAAACATGGAACATAAAACTGCAATTATCGAATACTGTTAATATTATCATGTCAGCATAGATTAATTATCGTAAAAACATACACTCCTTTTCTGCCCCAGAAATAGTCTCGAATGAATGAAACTAAACAAGCTCGGGAGTGAGCTAGTTCAGTACATCAGCAATCATAGCACATGGTAAAAAAATGATGTCCTAATCAAGAAAGGCAATATATTTGATATAGATACAAAATGTTGCAAGTGCTTACAGCAAAAGATCCTTTTTTTTTCATTTGTCAGTTATCTGTTGTTTCGCCATCAACGACACTGTTTGACGAGATTGCCTGCATGCCTTGAGCTGAGGAACACGCACTCAAAGAGCTTGCATCTGTAATGGAGATTTCCTTAATTTTTTTGGCTTTCTTTTGCTTCAAGGAATCCTGCACACCAATAACAGGAATAACATAATTCGTTCAATGGTTTATAGTACAGGACATCCATTCTTTTTATTACAACGATAAACAGAGAAAAATTAAGCGAAGGAAAAACAAAAAAGGGAAAAATGACTCAGTCGTGAGTGTTTTGAATACGAAACGGAAATGCAACCATGATACTGATATTATATAACTGGTCACTGAACTGGTGAGCGTGAACTAATAGTGTAATGATAACAACTCAATTGAGATAATTTTTATTTTCTAAAGATGATTGAATTTGACTTTCAGGTTTTGGGCATGCGACTATGTGTACAATTTTCAACAAAGTTTCAAAAGCTACTGGGAATCTGGCCAAAAAATCTTGTCCACTAAACGAAAACGATTTCTTCTCTCCTTTTTTTTTCCTTTTTTTTTTTTAATTTAAATTTTGTATGTGGCTTACTATATTCACCTGTTCGGAAGTAGATCCAGGCGTTTTGAGCTCTAGATCCGTAGTGATGCCATTCGAGTCATCACTTTTCTCTATTCTATTTTCCCCATCAGAATTTTTATACCTTGGGTCCTGTTTGCCACAACCATTAGACCTGTTGTTACTTTGCGGCACGGCTTGAGACACATGCTGAATCGAGTGCTGTTCAATCACGGCATTATGAGCCACGTACGGGATGTAAGTGGAGCACGGATTATGAACGACGGGCGGGTTTTGGTTCCCATAAAACGGGTAAGGCTGTAGAGATGGGTGCAAAGGGATTGTGCCAGCTGGCATGGGCATAGGCACAGGAAATGGATAAGTGGACGAATGCATGACGAGCGAGTGATCCATTCCTGCCCATGGGTACATGGACCGCATTCTCTGAGAGTACTGTGCATTGAGGGTCTCAATATCAGATTTGAGAGACGCCTTTTCTTCACGGAGATCGTTCTTCTCTTGAATCAGCTGCTCAAAAGAAGAACACCAAAAAAGGTGAAATCTTGTAGTTGTTTACAAATTTGTCATTGGTTATGTTTGGTAACCAAATAAGTTAGCTTATAAGTTTTCTTATTCAATTAAGTTTCATTTGGTATGGCGAGTTTTTTCAAAATGCTCGAGCTTATCTCATAAGCTTCTCTGGGTAGCTTTTCAAATAAGCTCGTTGAAATTTTTATTTCAGCTAGCTTATCATCAACTAATTTTACCAAACAGTTTTACCATATAAGCTAGTTTTCACCTATAAGCTATAAGTTCAAAATTCACTTAAAAAGGTATAAGCTAGCTTATGAGCTAGGTTTACCAAACATAGTCATTATTCTCTTGAATCAGCTGCTCAAAGAAGAACAAAGTAAGGTGAAATCTTGTTTAGTTCTTTACATATTTGTCATTATTCTCTTGAATTAGCTGCTCGAAAGAAGAACAAAAAAAAGATGAATTCATGTTTAGTTCTTTACAAATTTTGTCATTAATCTAACAAGGAGCTTTTCTAAAAGTTCACCTCATGGGATTCTTCGGTAAGTGCTGCATATTCGGATTTTAGTCTGTCAACTTGAGAAGTCAAGTCCTTCAGCATTATAATTGTGTCGGTTAGAATGGAAGCTTTGTCATTTTTCGGTCTATCCGGTTCTGCAACAATGCCAACTCTTTTCTTACAATAATTCTACATTTTCCACATACCAAGGCAGTTTAGCCACATGTTCACAGATTATTCACAGTGTTAAATGAACATCACGACGTTCAAAAGAATATGCAGATAATCAGTGATAACGTAACTCTCAAGAGAGGGAGCAGTTATCTAGAGTAGCTCCTTACACAAGAACATTAACCTGTAAGTATAAACGCTTTTTTCCCCTCCTTTTATTTAATACATAAATTTAGCTCAACTTTAGTTCCCCATAATAAAAGCAATCACCAGGTTCTAGGAGCTATTTAACGAAACGAGACCCTCGTGAGCTCAGCTCGGGTCGTTACGAATTTTCATGTGAATTTCTATAGGTCGGCTCGTTAGTGTTCAAGCTCGGCTCGAGTTCAGCTTGTTAATATTGATAAACAAGCTGAGGTCTCGTTTAGTTAACAAGCCGAGCTCGGGCTCGAGTATCAGGAGCTCGAGCATGGTTCTGTTTATGTACACCTGTTCTAAAATGAGATGACAAAGCAACTGGCAAGTTCTTACAGTCCATACTTTTCAACACCAGCAAAAATCAATGATATGTAATAATACAGCTATGCGCACAAGTCAGATGAAAATTCACCAAGCCCGAAGCCCGAAGCCCGAGCCCGTTTACACCTGTTCTAAGATAGATGACACAGCTACTGGCAAGTTCTTGCAGTCCATACTACTTTACAACACCAGCAAAATCAAAGATATGTAATAAGAAAGGGATGAACAAAATTACCTAGCGTGTTGCCCAACTCCATGAAGTGCTCGTTAAGGCGGTCCCTCCTCAGCTTCTCGCGGTCAGCTTTCTGGACTTTTCTGGCGGTAATTGAGTCTATTGCTTCTGCTTCCATGCTTCAATTGAGGACAAAACGCACAATTTGTGAGGAGAAGATATTTAATCAATGAATCGGGTCAAGAAGGAAGATGAGTTTTGAGAATTTGATCGACTGACGATAAACATCTGGTTAACAAATAAGAATTGATTCACGTTCTGTATAATCTAGCCATTTTTGTGATTATTATTATTATTATTATTATTATTTTTTATTTTTTTTGTGAATAACCCCAACCTTTTATTTAATTAAAAAAAAAAATTCAACTTTTCAACTAAATATTAAACTTTTATTATGTATTGCAAATTTGTCTCAAAATTAATTTTCGGCAAAGCCTTGCTGACATGTCTGATCGGAACTTTTATGTGACACCGATTAAGCTTGTGTGACACTCAATATTTTAAAGTCGATGTCACATCATCTTACGTAAGAATCCACATCACATCCCCTCAACCCTTTCATTCAATTTTCCCCATTTGAATTATTCTTGATTTTTTTTTATTTTTTTTTTTGCAGCAATTCACCTCTAAAAATTGCAGCGATTTGATGACTTGATTTTTCACTCTAAAAATCGAGATCATCATATGCTTAAGGAATTCATTTCGATCTCAAATCCCTATACTCAATAATCCCAGAACCCTAAAACCACGAATCTATCTGTAGATCCTCTAATTATATACTTCACTGTACAATAAAATCATCCTATGCTCCCGAAAATCGCCCCCTCTACCCATTTTTTCAAAATTTGGGGATGACCTTGTAAATGTGTTTGGAATATTTGGGGTGAACTCGATTTTTTAGGGAGAAAAAATCATGCCATGAAGAAAGTGAATCGCTGCATTTTTTTATTTTTTTTCAACTGAGGTGAATATCTGCAATTTTCCGAGAAGAAAGTGAAATAGATTTTTGTTGGCTCGATTTTGGTCATATGATGTGGGGTATGTGTTTAAAATGTTGAGTGTCACGCAAGCTTAATCGGTGCCACGTCAAAATTCCTATCGGACATGTCACAAGACTTGGTCCATAACTGTCTTTTTGACAAACTTGCAATACATAAAAAGTTTGATATTTAGTTACAAAGTTGAAGGAAATGACAATAATCGAGGGAGAGGGAAATAATATAACTATTGGGCCAGAAAGCCCAATGATGGTTTTGCTAAATCTCAATTTAGGTAATCTATATATAAAATTAACCATTTACTAAAAATAGTGGTAAAAAATTTTAGGAGTATTTAGTGCATAATTTTTTTTTATATGCATTAATTGCTTCCATATACACATTTTCAAATAAGATCAAATCAAATATGATAAAAAACATTGTTTCCTTAAATAATTATATTAATATCTACAATAATTTCATTTATATACATTATATTAAACTACAATTTATTTTTTGTGATTAATGTTGATAATATTTTGGTCAAAATAAATATTATAACATATTTTAAATTCTAACCATGATTTTAAATTTTTTTCACAAATATTCACTTTTATTTAAAAATATTTAAAGAAAATCGTAATAGGTTAGGTAGAATTTTTCTTCCAATTGATAAATTAATCTTTGCCAGTATATTTTTTTCTTAAACTTTATTTCATTATATGTAAAACATAAATTATTATTCAAATTAATATAAGTTACCATTTAAGAGATCATGACCAAATACAATAGTTTTACTAACGGTAAAAAGTTAAAATTGAATATATTAATTTTTTAAATTTTATTTGTATATTATTGGCAACCATGATTATTTTTTTATCACTTTTTTTATTTCTTTCCGTTAAATTCTTGTCCAATATATTTTCATTGCAAAGTATACTAAATAACTTGTAAATTCTTATAATACAAATTAGAAAAATCTTTTTATATAAGGGATTGAGTTTTTTGGCATTTGCTAAATCAAAGTTGTTTAATTAGTATATAAAGTTAGATTCTAAAAAAAAATATGTGTGTATATTTTATAAGATATTTATTATTTAATTTTAAATTTACTTACATATTTTAAATTGATTACATAAATAAACAATACTAACGTGCATTAAATATTTTTCATCATAAAAGAAAAAGAAAAAGAAGACATACAAATTCTATAACTTTTATGAATAATAATGACATTATATGACAATAAATTTTATAATAAATAATAATTAAGTATTATATGGTGAACAATAATAAGCAAAACTATTATTTTTTCTTATATCGTGGGATAAATATATATATACTAAAATCAAATTTATATTAGTATAAATGTGCTAGTGTGATATTATATTAGATTTTACAAGCTAGATTTAACATGCTCATATAATGTTATGACTAAAAAAAAACAACATTGATTAAAAGATGTGGAAAATAAATTATAACCATATTGCTTTTTAGACTTAACGCTAATTAAAATATGTGGAAAATAGATGATAACCCTATTGATTGTTAGACTCAAACAAACAGAGCTTGTGAAAATTACTCATGTAACATTCATGTCTCGTGCCGTTTCGAAAAAAAAAAACATTCATGTCTCGTGCATCGCACGGGGTACGTACTGATAAGTTAAAATAAAGTTTACAATTATGTACCTTTTTATTGCAATTTAAGCCATAAATAATATTTTTTATTGTGAATTTAATTACGTATTAATACTTGTTATATAAAATACGTAACAACAGGTTAGAAAAATTTCTCGAGTAAAAATATATATTTAATAACAAATGAGGTCGTATGACCCAAGTTATATATAGCAGAACATCTCGGTTCTTTTGTACAGTTATCGCTGTGGAGAGAGAGATTGGAATATGTTATTTTTACAATAAATGAGAAGTATTTATACTACGAGACCCACAAATATGGTTCTCGAGGCCCGCGCGTTTTCATTCAATACGATTTGATGGCGACGTGCGGCTTTGCAGGGTAGGTTCCACGCCTAATGATTGTATCCCGTCAGTACGATGGACATATGTCAAGTCCGTATTAAATGTGGTGTTAGAGGCAAATCTTCAAGGGATTTTGGTCGACTCCTTTGAGATGGGATGGCCGAGCTCTTCCCAAAACTTGTTTCGTCCTCGGATTGCTCTCCTTCATTTCCATTATGGTTGTAGGTTGAACATGGAGTGAAAAGTTCGATCTCCTCTATGATTCTTAGTTTACACCAAGTTGTTGTCTTCCGTGACTGATTTTCCTTCGCGGTCATAGGTTGGCCTTAAGGCGAGGAGGTCGGGCCCTATGCTAGTTTCCGAGTTTTCCACCGATCTGATCTTTGTTTGGCGATGGGTAGGCTTAATTTATTTGGCCCACCTTCAGATTGGACGACTATTTAATCCGTGCCGCATGTCAAATGACTAACATGATGCCTATTCGTATGTCAATATTAATAATTCATTTAATAAAATTAGAGGACATATCTATTTTCACACCACTCTGAAAAATGAATAAATTTTTCACACCACTGATAAAAAGTCAACCTTTTCACCTCAGAATGTGCGAAATTATTATGTGGTAATTATGCGATTTACATCGTGCGGAAATTCAAAATGCGAAGGTAATCGCATAACTCTTCTCACTTTCTAATGTGAATATACAACAACTATGCAACTAAAGGGGAAATTCTACTAGAAGGCCTAACTTTTGTTAATTGTATTAATATAAGGCCTGAATTTTTTACTTTTTCAATAGAAGGCTTATATTTTAGGTTATTCTTACTTTAAGGCTTACATTTTAGTTAACTTTTCATTATAAGGTCCAACTAACTTTACTTTTTAATAGAAATATGTAAAACAATTATTATGTGAATAAAATATTATTATTATTATTATTATTATTATTATTATTACTATTATTATTATTATTATTTTATGATTTATATTTTGCATACTTATAATTAAAAAAGTAATAAATATCATTAGCAAAAAAATTAATAAAAATTAATTTAAAGTTTTTTTTTTTGAAGCAAAAGTTGATACTATGTATGCTTGTTGAAAATGATATATTTTGTAGATTGCATATATATATATATATATATATATGTATATTATTTTTTAGTTTTATGACATATTTATATTACAAATATAAATACTATTTCCATTACATATTTTTTGAATTCACTAAAAAATATAAATTACAAAATAATAATAATAATAATAATAATAATAATAATAATAATAATAATAATAATAATAATTTATTCACATAATAGTTGTTTTACATATTTATATGAAAAAAGTAAAATTAGTTGGGCCTTATAATGAAAAGTTAACTAAAATGTAAGCCTTAAAGTAAGAATAACCTAAAATATAAGTCTTCTATTGAAAAAGTAAAAAAATCAGGCCCTAGATTAATACAATTACTAAAAGTTAGGCCTTGTAGTAGAATTTCCCCATGCAACTAATATCATTCGAATAATTATTGCATTTTCTAGGGTGAAAAAGTTAGATTATTAGTTAGCGGAGTGAAAATTTAATGTAATCTTTCAAGTCATAGTGTAAAATAAATTTGCTCATAAAATTGTGTATCGATTAAAAATATATTTATAGACTCATTATATATGAATTAGAAAACTATGATTTTATCTTTAAATATTGATCCCTTCAAAACAATATTCGAATAAATTCACAGACACCTCAAAGTACCAAATCCCCGCAGGCCACTGAGTGTGGACGTCTATGGTTCAAACCGTCACAAGAGGAGGAACTAATCTCATTAATTAACATTAATCTGTTGACCGAGTGTTTTGTTTTGCAAAATCCTAGAGCTAGCGACTTTTATGCCAAAATCGAAATGTTGCCACTGCCACAATGAGTAAATGTTAGGATTTGATTTGCACGGCAAGCCCATTGATCGGATATATTACACGACAGCCCCATGGCATAAATCTCCAGACGATGGTGGCAGACTACGTAGATGACAGTGGAAGGTGGAGATGGAACCTGTTCCATGGGGTGTTATCCTCGAGTATTATCTTGCGCATAGCCAACATGCTCCCTCCGATGAACTCGACTGACGAGGATCGCATCCTATAGGATTTCTCGCAGGATGGTAAGTTCTCAACTAAGTCGGCATATCAGTCACTCGGACAGGAGGAGATCAACCACGACAAGCCTTTGGAAATTAATCTGGCGCGCACCTGCACCACAAAGGGTCCGTAATCTTTTATGGCTCGCGGCCAAAGGCAGAATCCTGACCAATCTGGAAAGAGTCCGACGTCATATTACAAGCACGGATTTGTGCGATCTATGTGGAGAATGTGAGTTGCTACTTCATGTCCTACGAGACTGCCCAACGACAAAAGAAGTGTGGAATAGGCTAGTCCCTGCGAGCCAAATGCGCGAGTTTCTTCAGCAGCCAATTAAAACTTAGATCAACACTAATATGGGCACACATAAACTGGGGGCATTTTCTAATTGGAGTACCATTTTCTCTATTACTGCATGGCGTGCATGGTTATGGAGAAATGTATGGGTCTTTAACAAGCGAGCCTCAAGTCACGACGCTAGACAGCTGAAGGTGTTGCGCATGGTGGAGAATTATGCGCAGACGACCACGGCCTATGCAAAGGTAGGGGCCAGTGTGTACGTTACACGTATAATACACTGGACTACGCCTACGCCGGGATAGATAAAAGTGAATACTGACGAGGCGTTCAGCAAAGCCACGGGAATGGGCAACGCGAGAGGCCTCATTAGAAACGAAGCCGGAAGATGGCTCGCGGGTTTCTTCATGAATATAGAGATTTGCACCATCACTGGTGCCGAACTTTGGTGTCTACTACAGGGATTGCAACTGGCGTGGGATTTAGGTTTCCGTCAGGTTATAGCTGAGGTTGATAGCCAATGTGTGAGGAATATGACTCTTGGCAATGATGGCGAATTCGGGGCACACACGACGATAGTAAGGGTCATCCGTATCATGGTTCAAAGGAGCTGGAGCGTGAGGATACACCATGTGCATAGAAAAAGTAATTTTGCGGCATACTACATGACGAGTTTGGCGGCTTCATACTCAATCGGATTGCAGCGGGTGTCGGACCCTCCCGATGGCCTAGGGCCATGGCTTGATCATGATCTTATGGGGGTCCTTACCCCAGACGCGTCCTAGCCTAACATCTTTCCTAGGCCTTTGGCCTCCTATATTGTACCAAAAAAAAAAAATGTTAGGATTTGATTGTAATATAGCCAAACACGTATCAAACACATGCATAAAAAAGTTTCTACTATAATTGTTGTTTTACTTATTATAATATACAATAGGACTAGACAAGTGAAAAGTCTTATTGTTAATATAAATTATAGGGCTATAAAATACAACGGAACCATCCCGTAACGCTAAATTATATTAAAAGTTTTAAAAAATATTAAATTTCCTAAAAAAATTATCACTTATATATATTTCATAGAATCATATATATCATAGAATCATATGTTATACTAGTTTCATAAAATATTAATAAAATAACATTTTTACTTTTTGGCCCAAAAAATTAATATATTCCCTTTTGTGGATTGTGTCTGTGGTTCAATCAAGACACGAGTCCACGAGTCTCTCTTTCTCTATTCTCTTCTTGTGACAGGAACGACCGGACGAGCAAAACTACACAGACGAAAATGGCGATTAGGGTTTTCTTTATCCTAACGCTGCTGCTGTTTTCTTCATCGTTTTTACAAGGTAAAACTCGAAATACAGATCCAGATCCGTTTCGTTTTATCAGCTCGATTTACTCTAATTTTATCAGATTCACTTTCACTCTTATGGCGGGCGTCTGTTTTGGTTTATGATTAGGGTTCTGTTTTGTTAGTTCAGATGTCAATGGTGGATTTTGGTTTGCTATTTGGTAGAATTTTATAATATTTTCTAGTTTGGCGTTGATAATTTTTTCTATAGTTCTTCAGTTTTCTGATCTGTAGTTTTTGACTTCATGGCGATGATTTGTTTTGGTCTTCTGGAATTGGTTACATAGCTCGTGGAAATACATGAGCTGATTTGAACCATTGATAACCTTTTTTCTTGAATTCCTACTGTATATAAGCTTACTATTTGGATAGTAGTTTCTCTAAGCCTGAACATTTGCTATATTTTTTTTTTATTGAGCTTGTTGCTGTTGTATAATCTTCCAATTATACTGCAGAGTTTCTAATCAAATTTTGTATTCATCCGTGATATCAGTTTTTGAAATATTTTGCATATTTTCTGTATATTGAGTGAACCAAATTGTATAGTTTACGAAGAGGAATGTGAACCCCTTTATGATCATTGGCTTTTTTTCTTTTTGCTATATAGTTGCAAGATGTGAACAGGATCCCGATGCAGAAGTAGTTGATTCGTCTGAGGAAGTAGGAGACATTGGGATTGTTGGCGATGATGTCCAGGATTTTGGTGGAGGAAGCTTTAGTCCAGCTCCAGGCGTGGAAACCGTTTGCGTCTTCCCCAAAAACCCCGCAAAGTGTTAGTTTTTTTTTCCTTCTGTTACCAGTTATTCCTCTGTATCTTGTGAGCTTTATCTCTGTCGCCTTATATGGGTCTACTGTGATGTTGTTGCCCCTATTGAGTTTCAGTTGTCTTCAATAAATTAATCTATTTTATGTTTTTTGCTTCTCAGTGATAGGAGCTGGGGAAGAAAGTGAACTTTTAGTTGGATTGAAAAATGAGGGTGAGACTTTGTTAACTTGGCTAATGATCTTCTTTCTAACATTTTCATGTGGATCTTGTTTCACAATTTGTCTATAACGGGATATTCTTTGGCCGGATGCTCTACATCTGTTCTTCCATACGTTAATCTAATTCTTTGTGTAATATATTTTGTTAAATATATACCAACTCTATTGAAATAATGATCACCAATAATATTATTTCTTTTGAGGGTATGTTTGGAAATTTTTGTCAAAAAATGCATTGGAATCTAAAAACGACACTTATGTTAGAATTTTTTCATTTTGCTAAAACGACACTTATTTTGGAACGGAGGGAGTATATAGTCGCTTGTTGGAGTTGTCATGTTTTGGATGTTAATTTTCAGGAGAATCTACAATAAATATAATCGCGATCCAGGCTAGTGTGCATCTTCCTTTTGATCACCGTTACCTGCTTCAGAATCTCTCCGCCCAGGTTTTTCTTGCTTACTTTTATTTTTGTTAAGTTTTCATCTGGATCTGTAGTATTTATGGGTACCAACTCCGGAAGTGAGTGTTAATAAACAAGAAAGTATGGCCTCTTGTTGGGTGGTCTAATCTCTTAAAACGTATGATGTTTGCTGTGATTGGTGGTATCAAACCTACAGGACTCTCCTTTCTTTGAAGGCATTTCCTTTTTTTTTTTTTTTTTTT